CACCCATGTTGGTCTCAGAGAAGAGATGAAAAAATACATCTTTTTCCTTTTTCTTGGACAATTCCTGGGAATAGTGGCTGCAGAATGTTGCATAAAATATCATAAAATACCTGTTTTAAATGGTTTGGCTTATTTTGTTGTTGTTACCAGGGAAGTTTACCTAGTTGAGTGGGTAGCAGAGTAAGTCTGGAAATGACAATAATGGGAAAAAATAAAAGTCATCAATAAAACTTAAAAGTAAACTTAAAATGGTTAAGGACTAAGTGATTTCATGGGTTCTGTGTAGTTCTAACATGGTAGGTCTATGAAAACTAAAAGAAAAAATGAAAACTACTCCTTGAACTTAAACTGAGATAATTCAGGAAACTATTACTACCATGTGATGCGATGAAACTTTATAGTTGTAGTAACCAACAAAAAATATAACCCATGGGAATATGGAGAAATTTTCCAGTCACATACCTGGCTTATTTTCCAGTCAATGCTCTGAGGTTTTTTTGGAGGAATGTAGGCATCAGAAAACTCAACAGCACCATGTATTTCTTTTAAAGATAATTGTGATATTTCTAAAGAGGGAGAAGATATTATGCCAGAGGTGTCAGATATTCTACCAGCAGGCTACATGTGGCCCACAGCATTCCCAAGTACTGCCCCAATTTTAAAATGTAATTGGAAAATATTTAACAAAATACATAAAATACAATAAAACATAGATAATGTTAATATTTTGTTCTCTAAGTAAATTATGTACCCATAGGATCTTTATATATGACCCCCCATTTTGATTTGAGTTTGACACTATGCTTTATGTGATCAACTGAGTATTTATAGAATTAATAAATTATTTCCAAAGTATCCTATTGCCTTCTCATGGACCAAGCCCATGTTACATCATAGGCTGCAGTGTGTATTTTTGTCATAGAGTACATTCTGCTTGGAAACAGAGAATGGGAATTTATCTTTAAACTTGGAACATCTTATTCTCCTGGGGTAAATATTCTGAATTAAGAATAAAAACATCTCATGATTCATAACAGTCCTACAAAATGAGAATCAACATCTGTAATGAGAAGTGATAAAGATAAAAATGGAAATGTTTTCTCCTTACTAGTTTATGGGAGTGGGTATTTTCTATTTCCTGTTGTTGACTGCTCCATTGAGTGTGTATTTTATGGAAAAGGGAGACTTCTAGAACAAAATTTTAAATGTTTTATTTTGCATTGTTATTAAAGTAGGTTAATTGCCATTTATTTTAAATTGCTGTCTGTTTTAGCTGACCTCTAATAATACTCCTGGGTATTTTTCACAATGTGGATATCTTTGTCTTTTCCAGGAATTTCCATCATTTCTTTGTCATTTTGAATTCATTAATAAGCATATGAATCATATGATTCATTATTTGTAGCCACCTATTGGTACATTAATGTTCTTCAGATTTTGTTATTTTTAGGGATTCTAGAAGGCATTAATTTCAACATATGCTTTATAATGAAGTAAAATTCCTAGAAATAGTTATACATAGTATACCTCATCCTGAAAATTAAATGTAAGTTAATATTTCCTTTTGGAAGTTTATTCTTAGTCATCAAAAATTTCTTAGGATCATAAAATTTAGAGCTGGAAGGGAACTCAGACATTTTTTCTATTCCTGGCACTTTACAAATGAGAAAACTGAGTTCACAGTGACTCAAGGTCACAGTGGTAGTAAATAGCATAACCTGCCTTTAGAGATTAAATCCAGTGTTATTTGCTCATTCTACTGATAGGACCACCATCTTAGTTCAAGCCCTCATCACCTCTTAACTGGATTACTGTATAGTCAGGCAAAACATAACATAACATAACATAACATAACATAACATAACATAACATAACATAACATAGTCAAACAAAACAAATTCCACATCTGGACATTGCCCATGTCTAATAAGGTCTTCCTCGTTCTGAATCTTGAGTCCATCATCTCTCTGTCAGGGAGTAATGTGCTTCACCATCAGTCCTTTGGAATGGTGATTGGTCAGTGCCTTCATCAGAGCTCTTAAGTCTTTTGAAGTTGTTTGAACAGTAATTTATTATTTTATAAATTGTTCTCTTGGTTCTGCTCATTTTGCTCCAAGGTTTCTCTGAAACTGTCCTTTTTGTTATTCTTGCTACACCATGGTATTTCATTACATTTATGTACCCTGTTTTGTCCAGCCATTTCCCAGTTGATAGCATCCTATTAGCTTGCAGTATATTACCACTATAAAAAGTGTTACTGTACATATTTTTGTATGTGGGTCCTTTTCTACTTTATTTGATCTGTTTGCAGCATACCTGGGTCATAGTGTCTACACAGTTTAATGTTTTGGGCATAGTTCTGAGTTGCTTTCAAGAATGGTTGGACTAATGTACATCTTCACCAACAGCATACGAGTGTTTATTTTCCCCTCAACTCTTCTAACATCGGTCATTGTCCTATTTTGCCATCTTTTTCAATTGGATCAATATGTGATGAAATTTCAGTTACTTTAACTTGAATTTTCTACTTATTGGTGTTTTGTTGCATTTTTTTCTTGTACCTTGTCATATCCTTTGACCATTTGACCAATTGAGGAATAGCTTTTATTCTTACGAATTTAAATCAGTTGCTTATACCTATAAATGCCATTATTATTATTGTTATTTTTATGTGTCTTGAAAATTAGACCTTTGTCAAATAAATTGGCTGCAAATATTTTTTCCCAGTTAACTATTTCCCTTGTAATTTTTTTGTTCGTTTGTTTGTTTTGCTAGGCAGTGGGGTTAAGTGACTTGTCCAGCATCACACAGCTAGTAAGTGTTATGTGTCTGAGGCCAGATTTGAACTCAGGTCCTCATGACTCCAGGGCCGGTGCTCTATCCACTGCGCCACCTAGCTGTCCCATCCCTTGTAATTTTAGCTGTTTGTTTTTATTTATGGAAAAAATTTAATTTGTATAATTAAAATTGTCCCTTTTATTTTCTGTGATTTTCTCTATCCCTTTTTTAATCATGAACTCTTCCCATATATAAAAGTTATATAAAATCTAATTTAATTTTATCTTTATATATTTTCTTTATGATGTGACTTTTAATATATAAAAGTTATAAATCTATTTAAATTTATCTTTATATATGGTATAAAGCATTTATTTGAATCTAATTTCTTCCACACTGCTTTCTAATTTTCCCAGTTATTTTTGTTAAATAGTGATTCATTACCTCAGTAGGCAGATGGTAGTGGGTTCCCCCCTTGCAGGAGGTATTCACTCAGGGTTTGATGACCAGTTGTTGGGTATGTTATAAGTCATGGGTTCTATCAGGTATATGTTGTATTAGATGACATTTAGAGTCCCATCCAGTTCTCAACTCCCGTGATTCTGCAGCTGTTTCCCCTCTGGGTAAGGATAAAGAACAGGAATCCTTAACAATATCTAGTGACTGTCTACCTTATCTCTAAGTTTCAAGCTTTCCTAGCCTCAGCAACTGCTGTTGCCACTGCTCAGGAGTACACTGGAAAGGTTAGGGGTTTGGACTGAGAGAGGAGGAAGAGCAGGACGCTGCGAATGCAGTCTTTGCTGTTTACTTCTTTTCTTTTAATTTTCTGTGGCACTTACTTTTTTGGACTTTTCATTTTTTTTTCCTTTTTTGATTATAGTTCTTTTACTTCGTTTGACACATTTTTAAAAAAAGTTTTTGAGGTAGAAGTGTAGAGAACTGGGGTTGTCCACAACCTTTCACTGCCTTCTGATCCTCTGAGCCATAATCCTCATCCATATGTAATCTCCCCTCCTGTCCTCTAATTCACAGTGTCACAGGTACAAGTTTGAATCACTGTGCAGATTATTTGTATATTCTCTTAACTCTGTTCTTCCCATTAGTAAGTCTGAGCCAATACAGGCTGGATTTCTCATCAGAGTGAGAGCAGCTAGAAGTGGCACAGTGGGTAAAAGAGCTAGATTTGGAATGAGACCTGAGTTCAAATCTAGCCTCAGACTCTTACTAGCTGTGTGTGGCCTTTGGCAAGTCACTTAACCTCACTCAGCCTCAGTTTCCTTATCTGTAAAATAGGGATAATAATAGCACCCATTTAACAAGGTTGTGAGAATCAACTAAGATAATATATGTACAGTGATTTGCAAACTTTAAAGTGCCATGTAAATGATGTCTGTCATCATCATTATGACCATTATTGTTCATTCTGCCCCCATTCAACAAATAGAGAAATTATCACTTTGTTCTATATTCCAGGTTCTGCCCACTCTCTTCCAACAAACACTTGTAAAATGTGGGATCATAACTCTCCCCTTGCAACAAAATGAAATAATATATGTGAAAATGCTCAAAATAGTTCAGCACTACTTAAACTGTGGGTCACAACCCCATATACAGTTACAAAAAATTTGACAACAGTAAAAGATTACGCGCAGGGACCAAAAATTAATTAAAATCAAACATGTAATGAATCTGAGGTGTTTCTGGCAGAGCTTGCCCATGTTGCATCTTGCAACTTCACTGCAGCCTTGGTTCTGAACACAAAGCACGTGCACTTTGTTTCTTACTTCATGGGACCTTGGCATAGTCTAAAATTGACAACTGAGAGTCATCACCAAACCTCTGTAGGACCATAGGTTTAGAACTGAAAGGAACTTCAGAAGCTATATATAGGCTAACCCTTCTGTTTAAAAGATGAGAAAATGAAGAAGTAGGGAGAACCAGTGATTTGGCCAAGGTAACGGTAGTAACAACACAAATAAATATTAAGTGTCAGAGGTTCTGTGGCTTCATTTAGTCTATTCCCCACCCCCACCCCCACCCCGGCTGCCTTTCTTAAAGCAACTTTCTTCCTAGCTTCTACTTTAAAATTGCCTTTATGTGGTTAGGAGAATATTTGGACTTTCTTAGTCGGTGCAGGTTTAAATCTTATGATGATCTATACTATTAGCTACAAACCAAGGATAATACTTCTACATGTTGATTGCTCTATCTCTGTTTTCTAGGGAACAAAACAAGAAGACATTGAAGGTGAAGAGGAAGTGACTGGTTTAATTCAGCCTGCAGAAGTATTTGCTCCCAAAAGCTTGGTGTTGGTGTCCAGATTAGATTATCCAGAAATTTTTAGGGTAAAGAACCTCACAGCTGTCACACATGATATGTGCTAGTTTGCAAATTTGTTTTTAATGAATATTGATGACAACCTTATTGGATTTTAAATGTCTCAATATAGGTTTAAGAATTTCCCAATAACATGAAATTAATCCAAACTGAATAGAATCCTTATCTAACGGATGGAAAACCCGATAAGTTAATGTAGTTATTCTAAACTCCTGAGGATCTGATTTGTAATCCTTGATATCCTCTACGTATATGACACATGATTTTTATCATAAAGAAATATTTACTTTTTAAATTATTCCAAACAAACTTGACATTTGGAAGAATGTAATGAGCATGAAGATGGGCTCTCAAGTGCAAGTAAAACAATGAGGCAGTTGGAGGTTTTGACTTGTTCTACAAGCACCAAATGCAGTGCAAAGCTTATACAGTGGGGTGCAAGAGTTTTCTTTCCTTGGCCCCTGAGTATTTTCACATCAGCAGTTATTTTTGTTTGTAAATATTCAGAACTAAATAATGATGACATGATACATGGATTAGGGAAATAATTCATATACCACAGAAATTAAATGACAAGAAAGAACTAAGAAATGTTAATTTGTCAGGATTGTAAAATTGTGGACAGATACAGGGAAAATTTTAAGCAAAGGAAAAAATTCTATAAAAATGTATTTTTTTAAAAATTGAAAGAAATTTCTAAGTGTACTATTTTATCACCATTTCTACCTGTCATTGCAACTCTGTCCCAGCTCTTAGGGGAAGTCTTTTCTCATCCTAACCTGAAACACACCGATGATTCTCTTCTTTTCGTTAGGAGGGGAAGATTGGGACTATGATTTCATTGATATAGGGGATTCTTGGTGAGGAAACTCCCTTCCCAGAATCAGATCAGCAAATGTTCTTCAATTTACAGACTTAGTGAGTTGCCTAAGTTACTGAGAGTACCTTGTCCAAGGTCACATGGTAATGAGTCAGAAGCAGGTTTTGAAGGTCTTGCTGATTCTGAGGCTTCCTCTCTGTATAAATGCCAATGTATCTGCCCCAAATGATGACTAAAACAGATTAATTATTGTTATGAAACAAATTTGTGGAATTTATAAAATCTAAAACTAAAGGAAGTTTAAAAATGTTTGCTTTTAAAAATTTGGGGAAGAGGGTTTGAGGTTTGTTAAAGAAACCTAGCAGTTTTTCCCAGGTTTAATGGAAAAATTTGAAATTAAACAGAAAAACTCATTTTACAAAGTTTCTGTCATAATGATTCCATAAAATATATGACATTTTCTTCATGAAATTCATTATACATTCACAGTAAAATAGCCTCATTAGGCTCAAGGAAAAAACAGTTCAGGGAAAAACTTGAGTTTTTCTCATGAGATAGAGAAAGAGCTCTTGTGCCTCTGTGTTCATTGTCTGCCCTTGTTTTATTTGTAGGCTTGCCTGGGCCTGATCTACACTGTGCATGTGGATAGTCTAAATTTCTCGTTGGAGAGTCTCATTGCAAACCTCTGTGCATGCCTTGTCCCAGCGACTGGGGGTTCTCAGGTAAATACAAGAAAAAGGGAGCTGGAGAATGGAATATTTTCCTAGTTAATTTAATTTATGAAGAAAGCAAAAACTAAATTCTTGGAATATTCTTCTTAAAAAAGGGATTATAGTTCAGTTAAATACTGTCCCCATGGCCTGCCTTATAAAAAGAGCAAAAATTCCATCCTTTACTTAGGTCATAAGGTTAATTTTGGTGGTAGATTTCCTTTACAACAAAGCATAATAAATTAGATTTTGTGTAACTTGAACTGTACCTTAAATTTAATTTGAGGTATGCACATATACATAATTCTAGTAGAGCTATTTTTTTCTTTAAAAACTGGATTCTCCATTTCTCTGTACATTTTACTTCTTCTAAATTCATCCTTAGCTTATTCTAATTAGTCTCAATAATAATTTTTGTGAAAATAAGATAAATCACAATTCTTTATCACATCTTCAAAAATTCCCTCTCTTCTGTCACTATCTTATTTATAAATAGGGATGTGGAAGTAAAAGGAGGGAAAATGCAAAGGATAGGATGAAAGTAAATACATAATTAAGTCATAACTGAAAATCAAATAACTCACCCATAAAACAGAAAACTATCGCAGAGTTTGTTAGAAAACAGATCTCATGGTATGTCATTTACAAGTAATACATTTGAAACACAAAGATTTACAGAGATAAAATGAGGAGCTATAGCAAAATCTCTTATGTTTCTGCTGAACTTTAAAAAAAAGTAAGGATAGCAATCATGATCTCAAATAATGCTACAGTGAATATGGAAAAGACTAAAAAGAGGTAACCAGGCAAATCAAACTGAATTGTACTACTTAAAACTACCATAGATAAAGAATATCAACAATTAACATAGATGCACATAATAACATAGTATCTAAATACTTAAAAGAAAAGATAGCTAAATTATACAGAGAAATTGAAATATAATAGTGTGGGACCTTAATGTACTCCTTTCAGACCTAGATAATATCAACCAAAAGATAAGAAAGAAATTAAGGACCTAAATATAACTTCAGAAAAAGTAGAGGTGATCATTGTCTGATGATTACTAAATGGGAATAAAAAGAATTTACACATCCCTCAACTGACTCTACCATCTTTACAATTTACACTATATTGGGGCAGAAAGACTCCACCGGGGGACACCTAGGTGGCGCAGTGCATAGAGCGCCAGCCTTAGAGTCAGGAGGTCCAGAGTTCAAATGTGGCCTCAGACACTTGATACTTACTAGGTATGTGATGCTGGGCAAGTCACTTAAACCCAATTGCCTCACCCCAAAATAAAGACTCCACCAGCAAATGTAGAAAAGCAGAAATACTAAACACATTATTTACTGCTCATAGTATAATAAGAATTACATTCAATAAAATGTCCTTAAAGAAATAATTTAAAGTAATTGGCGACTAAACAGCATAATTCTAAAAAAAAATGAATCAAATAAAAAAATACAGAACCAACAGAAAATTCCATCGTGACAAAAGTTAGGGTACATATAAAAGCTTATGATATGCAGCTAAATCAATTCTGAGAAGAAAATTTAAATCTCTGAATACTTTTTATCAGGAAAAGAAAGAGCAAATCAGTAAAGTGAGCACAAAGCCAAAAAAAAAATACATGAACAAATCACAAATTTCCAACTAAATAACAAGGTAGAAATTCTGAAAATGAAGAGATTTATAAAATTGAAAGCAAAAAGAGAATCGAATTGATAACTTCAACTGGGAGCTTATTTTAAAAACTAATAAAATAGATAAGGTTAGTTAATCTGATTTAAAAAGAGAAAGGCTTCACAGCATGGCTATCATGGAAGTGTTTTGCATAACTACACATGTATAACCTGTATGAAGTTGCTTGCCTTCTCGATGAAGGTGGGTGGGGAGGGAGGAAGGGAGAGAATTTGGAACCCAAAGTTTTAAAAACAATTCTTAAAAATTATTTTTACATGCAACTGGGAAATAAGATGTACAGGCAATGGGGTATAGAAATCTGTCCTGCCCTGCAGGAAAATAGAAGGGGAAGGGGATAAAAGAGGGGGTGGGGGGTGATAAAACGGAGGGCAGATCAGGGGACGGGAATTCAGAATGCATGTCGTCTTGGGATGGGAGAGGGGAGAGATGAGAAAATATGGAACTCAAAATCTTGTGGAAGTAAATGTCGAAAACTAAAATTTAATTAAATTTAAAAAATAAAAAGAGAAAGGAAAAACAAATTGTACATATCAAAAAATGAAAAAAGAGAATTTGCAGCAATTGAAGAAGAAATAAAGGAAATTATCATAAACTCTTTTACACATTTATCATCAGTCAGGAAACTTAACATTTACTAAGTTGCTGGAGTGTGCCAGTCACTGTGCTCATACATGCTGAAGATACAGAGAAAGTCCAAAACACACACACACACACACACACACACACACATATACACACACATATACACACACGTGTGCGAGCTCACCAGCCCCTGCTCTAAAGGAGCTCTCAGCCTAAATGAGGGAGACGACCTGCAAACAACACTGTACAGATGTAGGATAAATAAGGGATAGTCTCAGAGGCCAGGCATTCACATTAAGGAGGACTGGAAAAGATGTCTTAGCAGAGCTGGAGCTTTATCTGAGATTTTAAGGGAGCCAGGAAAGCAAGGAGGCAAAGATAGAAGGGGGATAGCCAGTTAACATGCTTGGTGTTCAAATTGCAGCAAGGAGGCCAGTGTTACTGGATTGGCACAGTAGTACATGGTGGAGTTAGGTGTAAGAAGACTAGACAGGTAGCAGAGGGCCACACTTTCAAGGGCTTTAAGAAAATTTTGTATTTGCTTGTGTGGAGATAACAGAGAGCCCTTGGAGTTTGTTTTTTAATAGGAGGTATGAAGGGGAGAAGAGAGTGATATAAAATATAAATTATTTATCATCTCCTGGAGTACTGTGGGTAGCATACATTTGTCATTGTGGTCTGTCCCTCATAGCCTCCTCTTTGCCTTCTTTTCCCCATTGTCACCCTCCTCATCCCGTCATCTTACCTGCCTCCTCTTTCCCAACAGAACACATGCTGACTGAGCCTGCAGTCTTTAGGCTTGAAGGGGACTTGACTTTGGGAGATTTTTCTTCAACTAACTTTACTGTTTTTACAATCTAATGAACTTTGTTTTTGGAAAACCATGTGCATCTCCTGTTCTTTTTTCTTAAAATATTATATGAATATACAGAAATAAGGAATTTTTAGTAATAGATGATACTAAGTTCTTTAAGTGTTAAATATGTTCATTTTCTACTAAGCTCTATTTGCTCGCATCTGCTTTTGTGAACTGAGTCTTAGTCATACAGTTGTAAACTGTGGGAGGGAAGAGGTTGTTTCATTTCTGTGGTTCTGTCCTAAACTCTGAGCTTAGTGCCTGGCACATACAAGGCACTTTAAAAATGCTTGCTAATGGATTGATGAACACTGTCCTTGCTGCCTTGATTGAAGCAGCTTAATGAGTGGCCTAGCATAAGGCAGAGCAGCTCCAGGGGTCTATTCCCCATTCCTGTCTAGGGAGTTACTTTAGTTTATGCAGAACAGCTTAGACTAAAATTCTGAAAGTTGAAATTTCCTTGTGTGCAACAGTAAAACTATATTCTTAAAGTCGAAATGTGAAACCCTAAGTATGACAGACTATGTGTTTGCAGATATTTTCTTCTGTTTACTCTAGATAAAAGGAGTAATTTTTTTTTTCTACAGAAGCTGTTTTCCTTGGGAGCAGGAGACAGACAGCTGATACAGACTCCTTTACATGATAGTCTTCCTGTCACAGGCACCAGTGTGGCTCTCCTGTTTCAACAATTAGGTATGTTTATTCTGGGTTCCATAATGGTCTCTTAAGGAAGATGATGAGAAACTTTTCCTTTTAGGTCAGGTCACCTGTCATGAATCCAAGAAAGCTTTTACTATATAGATTTTTTTTTTCTTTTAAATATATTTTAGTCCTAGTTTTATCTGCTTTCTTCCTTTCAAACTTTTGTTGGGGCCTAATTTTGTAGTATGTTACTTTTGTCATTTAGTCAGAAAGCAAATTAGGCTAAATGTATTCTAATTTTTATTGTGATATGATATGTCCTTAAAAATGCACAGGAAGCAGGAAACTTTATTTTTCCCTTTCCTCAGAAACTAAGTCAACAAGCTTCTGAAAGCTACTACGTGCCATAACCCCTCATGTTTCTAACAATTAGAGCTACCTACCAAACAAAGTGCCTACACAGCCCTGCGTTGTCCCACAGCCTATCCCAGTTCTGGCAAAGTTTCTTAGAATAGCCAGAACTTGATTTCTTACAGGTAGCACACAGTCTAGCCTACAGTCCTAATTCCTCAGTTTGTACTATAGTTTTGCACTCTACTTTTCCCCTCAAGTCTTTCTTCTTGAGACACTGTTGTGTAGGCATTCAAGGGAATGTTTAAGGAAAGGAACTAGAACTGGACAGATGAGGAACACAGTCAGAGTTGTGTGAATGGCTGAGCTAACTCACATGTTGGCAAGAAATGGTAAAGAGAGATGCTGTTGCCTCTCAGATAGAATATATGCTCCTCTAGTGAGCATTAAAAACTCTTCACAACCTGGCCCCAAGCTGCACCCCCAATCTTCCCCACACTCCTATACAGCCAACCATCCCTTGCTGTTTCTCACATACCGTGTTCCCACTCCTGCCAATGTCCTCCCTCCTCACTGCCACCTTTTGGAATCCCCAACTCCCATCAAAGCTCAGGCGAAGTGCCACCTGCTCCAGGAAGGCATTCCTGCCTTACTCCTTCAATGCCATTAGTGCCTCCTCTGCACAGTCACCCTGTATTTATTTTGCATATACATAGTATTCCTACCAACTCAGTTTGCTCATGTGTAAAAGGATAGGATTGGACAAGATGGTCTTTGAGTTCCTTCACTGCTTCAGGTCTGTGATATAAGCCTCTGCATGGAATCTCCTGTGATTGTAAGCATCAAGGACTGTTTCATCTTGGATTTTGTATCCTTACCTAACACATTTCCTGGCAAATAGCAGGTGCTTAATAAATAAAAGCTTGTTGGTTCATTGATAAGGGAAGATGGTCATATTGTGGAGAGCCTTGAATGCCAGGACAGAACTGTTTAGATTTTATTCTAATGGATCTTTATTAGATTAATAGATAAGATAATAGATCTTTAAATAGATAAGAGATAATAGATTAATCTTTATTCTCTACTCAGTGGGAAGTTATTACAAGTTCTTCAGCAGGGTGAAATGATTGTTTTAGGAAGTCTAGAATTAAAAAATAGATTGGCATAAGGAGAGAGAGACCAGCTAGAAGGTTTGTGCAGTAGTGCAGGTAAAAGATGATGAGACGTTGGGCTTTTTCTACCTGTTCATTTCAACTGAATGGCTATGATTTGTTGATTTCAAGTTGTCAGTAGTAACAGGGTAGAACCAAATAAAAATATGCTTCTTCAGGCTATAAAGAGACAGCATCTTTATCATTTTAAAGTCTGTTTCTATCAACACTGAAGAAAAGGAGATACATTTTGGCTCTGAAAATCAAAATTGATGCATGTGTTAATTTTTCTGTCATTGACCAGCCTTCTACTTCTGCAACAGCCATAGATAGTTTGTAGGAACATTTTAAAATGTGCCCCAAATGGCAAAAGCACAAATAGTACAACTTTAAATAAAGGGTAGAAGTTACAAAACGTGTTGCTCATAAGTCTTAATCTTGGTTCACTGAGTTGAAGAAGAAATAAAAACAATCAGTTTTTGAGCTTCTTGGAGATAGGTAGCATTTAACATCATTTGCTGTCACATTGGATCATATTTCTCCTTTGAAAAGCCCAATGTGCTACTTTAGAATTGAATATGCTTTACTTGAAAGAAAATGCTCAGAGTAGATCTTGTCTTCAATAGTTTCACAAATGTCAAAGTATGCTCTTTGTGAATTCTGTTTTTTTATTAATTGGTAGAGGCTTCTGGCCCACCAAAATATTAGCATTGTCAAGGAAATATGAGCCTCAACAAGATCATAGGACCAACAGTTTTGTTCTATTTATATCTATTTATATTTTCTTTTTTTAAAAAAATTTTATTAATTCATTTTGATTTATCAACAATCACTTCCATATGCTTTTGAGTTGAAAATTTTTCTCCCCCTTCCTCCCCCCCACCCTCCCCAAGACGGGACACAATCTGATATAGGATTTACATTTACATTCCTATTAAACATATTTTCACATTAGTGAAGTTGTAAGTAAAAATTAAAACCAATAGGAGGAACCATCAGAAAGATGAAACAAAGCTCAACAGAAGGTAAAAATAAGTGATAGCGATTCGACTTCCATGGTTCTTTCTTTGGATGTGGACAGCATTTTCCATCCCCGAGGCCTCTGGAGATGTCTTAGATCCTTGTAATGCTGAGAACGGTTCAGTTTAACAATATTAGTCATCGCATAACGTGGCTATTATTGTGTACAAAGTCCTCCTGGTTCTGCTCACTTCACTCAGCATCAGACCATATAAGTCTTTCCAGGTTTTTCTGAAGTCCGCCTGTTCATCATTTCTTATAGCACAATAGTATTCCATTACATTCATATACCACAACTTGCTCAGCCATTCCCCAATTGATGGGCATCCTCTCAATTTCCAATTCTTTGCCACCACGAAAAGAGCTGCTATGAATATTTTTGTACATGTGGGTCCTTTTCCCATTTGTTTGATCTCTTTGGGATATAGCCCTAGAAGTGCTATTGCTGGATCAAAGGGTATGCACATTTTTGTAGCCCTTTGGGCATAGTTCCAAATTGTTCTCCAAAATGGTTGGATCATTTCACAACTCCACCAACAATGTATTAGTGTTCCAATTTTCCCACATCTTCTCCAACATTTATCATTTTCCTGTTTTGTCATGTTGGCCAATCTGATAGGTGTGATGTGGTACCTCAGAGTTGTTTTGATTTGCATTTCTCTAATCAATAACGATTTAGAGCATTTTTTCATATGACTATAGATGGCTTTAATTTCTTCATCTGAGAACTGTCTGTTCATATCCTTTGACCATTTATCAATTGGGGAATGGCTTGTGTTCTTACAAATTTGCCTTAATTCTCTATATATTTTAGAAATGAGGCCTTCATCAGAAAGACTGGTTGTAAAAATTCTTTCCCAATTTTCTACCTTCCTTCTAATCCTAGTTGCATTGGCTTTGTTTGTGCAAAAACTTTTCGGTTTAATGTAATCACAATTATCCATTCTGCTTTTCATAATGTTCTCTATCTCTTGTTTGGTCATGAATTCTTCTGTTCTCCATAGATCTGATAGGTAAACTATTCCTTGTTCTCCCAGTTTACATATGGTATCAGCCTTTATATCTAAATCATGAACCCATTTTGACTTTATTTTGGTATATGGTATAAGATTTGGGTCTATGCCTAGTTGCTTCCATACTCTTTTCCAGTTTTCCCAGCAGTTTTTTTCAAAGAGTGGTTCTTATCCCAGAATCTGAGGTCTTTGGATTTATGAAATAATAGATTACTGTAGTCACTGACTACTGTGTCTGCATATTTAACCTATTCCACTGATCCACCTCCCTATTTCTTAGCCAGTACCAAGCAGTTTTGATGATTGCTGCATTATAATACAATTGAAGATCTGGAATTGCTAGGCCACTTTCCCCTGCATTTCTTTTCATTAGTTCCTTTGATATTCTGGACCTTTTGTTTTTCCAAATGAATCTCGTTATTATTTTTTCTAACTCTATAAAATAATTTCTTGGTAGTTTGATTGGTATGGCACTGAATAAGTAAATTAGCTTAGGTAGGATTGTCATTTTTATTATATTACCTCAGCCTACCCATGAGCAACTGATGTTTTTCCAATTATTTAGATCTCTATTTATATTTTCAAGGACATTTAAAGTTATTATTGATAATTAGCAGCAAGTGGCAGTGAAATACAAACATTTGTAGTTTTATTTTCAAGCTTATGTAGTGGCTCATATGCATTTACAAGTTGGAAAAAATGTTTGTTTAAAATTGCACAGGAATCTATTTTTTTAAACAGAAAATTTATCATAGTCTTTAGCCATAAAGAAAATGAAATGCTTCCAAAAATTAAATTGTTTTAATTCTCTGACTAATATTAAATCAATGAAACAACAAAATATTGCCTTGATTTACTAAGAATATCATGGAAGAAAATAAAACTATGTTGCCTAAAATATTTTTATTAATAATAGTAAGTTTTAAAAATATTTATCCTGAATTACAATGATTTTAAATTGTTTTATTTAAAACAATTTTGAAATTAAATTATTTTATTAAGAAAATTTAAACTTCTTTTTTCTTGCAGTTTAAAAATTAGAACTTTTTAATGCATTTTTGCATGATAATTATTTTCCACTAAACACTCTTATGCCCACTACCCTTACCTGCAAGCAAACAAAAACAATTAAGTTTAACCAATCAGATAAAACCACTGGTACTGACAATGTATTGTATAGAACATTCTGTATCTTTAGGGCAGCACTACCCAGTAGAGAAGAAGAAAAATTTTCAGCTTTATACATATGGAATTAACATTGGACATTCCAATTTTTCAGACTTCTATTGACTTTATTTACATTATTGTATTCATTGTGTATATGATTTTCCTTAATTTGATTTGTTCATTCTATATCAGCTCAGTTTCCCTATGCGTCTCTGAATTCCTCATATTGTTCCCTGTGTTTTCAATTGATGGATATTTGTGTACAGTTTTTAGCTATCATAAAAAGTGCTACTATAAATTTTTTGGTTTACATAGGACTTTTCTTTCTGTCACTGTTTGAATAGTCTTT